TACGGGAACGTACGGCACACCCGTATAATGCAACCTCGCTCCAGACACACCAGCGCCACGCTCCCGTCCTCTGCAGCGCTCACGACGCATTGCCGAAACTCCGGCGGTGCGTGGGTTTCGGAGCCGCGCGGCAGCAGAACCCGTCGTACAGGTCCGCCGTGGGGGTGCAGCGCGAACGCCGGTCGGCCGAAGGCCGCTGCGTGTGTATGCCAGCCGCGGAGGGATCCGTCGGAGCCGCCCGTCAGCAGGATGTGCCGTACACGGCTGGCGGATTCTCCGCCACCGCCACCGCCGCCGCCGAATGATGTGTATTGCTGGTTCATTCCGGACCCCCCTAATTCCCCCCTCCTGGTCAACGTGGTGGTGGGGGATGGGGGTGGGGGCGGCGAGGGCGAAACGGGTGCGTACGAGGTGTTGGTGAAGGTGGCGGCGCTTTCCCCGGCCCCATGCGTCTCGGGGTTTAGCTGCGGGTTGTTCCTGCCCTCCCCCACCCTCACCAGCACCTCCAACTGCATCGGGAAAGGGGGGAAGGGGGCTCAGGTGGGGGGGGAATGGGGAGAGGGCAGGGTGGTACGGCATGCACGCAGGTCCGCCTGATGTGTTCTCCTACGGGGTACTTCCCCCCGTCAACCCCCTCATACACTGCCAGCTGCACACACGTCACGCCGTACCTCAAACCCCTGGCTCACCTGGCACGTCAGGGGCCCTATGTGGCCGTACATGCTGCCTAAGCGACCTGGCCGCAATGTAGCCACCGCGCCCGACGGCAGCCGCCGCGGCGCCAGGGTGCGCGCCGTACAGCCAACTGCGGCACCGTTGCCGCCGCCGCCGCCAGCCGCCCCTCCGGGAATATCACTGAGACCGGGACACACAACCCCGTCGTCGTCGCGCTCCTCCGGCTCCGACCCCTCCGGCTCCGAAACCCGGAGCAGCCATGGTGGCTGTTTCTGCTTCCACTGGCCAAGTAGACCCGGTGGCCGATGTACGGCAGGGACCGCGTACGCGCCCGCGTCACAGTAATGCATCGCGCCATCGGCCGTACAATGCAGTACGACTGCTTCGTTCTTGTCGGTCCCGTCGCACAGGAGTATGGACGTGGACACCACAGTCGCCGACGCGGCGGCGGCAGCGATGGCGGCATCAGCGGCGGCGGGGGCGCTGCTGCAGCCGCGCGTTGCCTCCCGCGCGTCCGTCACTGCCGCCGCTGCCGTCGTCGACCTCGGTGATCCCGGTGAAGACGACGATGACGCCGCGTGAAATTCAGAGTTCGAGTTGTACAGCCGACTACGAGCCTTCACTGCCCCATCCCTTTCCCCAGCTCCGTCGTCCCCGCGGCGACGGGCGCCCCATCGTTCGTACAAGCAGGTGGGAACGTCAACACTGCCGCGATCGTGTATGCCGTACGGATTCTGCCGACGCACCCGTCCACTCTTGCAGTTACCGTTAGCAGCCACCGCCGCAGCCCTCGCATCTACCCGAAACCCGTCGCCGCCGCCGCCGCCTCTTCCGCCACCGCAGCCAGCGGCTGCTGCAGCACCCACGACAGTGGCGGAGGCGTATCCAACGCCACTGCGAGATCGCTTTGTGCCGTACATTCCACATACACGCCGGCGCGCCTGGTCGGCTTCCGTGTCCCGCCCCACGTCATCCCCAGGGCCATCGCTGCAGATGCCGCCGCCACCGCCGCCACCAACACCGCCGCCGCCGCCTTGGCTCCCCTCGCCGCCAGCGTCCATTACGACACCGTTGCGCCCTAACCCCTGGAGGTCTTCGCCGCCCTCATAACGCCAGAAACGACAGCGCATGGTGCGTCCGCCGCCGCCGCCGCCGCCAGCGCCTTCGCAAGCGGAATTTCCAGCACAGGGCGCATGGGCCCCGTGGGCCGATACGAGACCTCCGCCGCCGCTGCCCCCCCCAGCACGACGCATAGCATGCCGGTGGCGGAACGCGTTTGCGCGCCAAGCTGCTGCCGCTGCCGGCACCTTTGTCGCACCTGTCCAGCCGTCGTGCAGCGACCCCACCAGCGGGGCCGCCGTTGCCGGCATCAAATACGCCGCACCCGCCGCCGCTACAGGCGAAGACCCCTCCACCCGACCGTCGGAAGACGCCGCCGGCGGCGGCGGCTGCTTCGGCAACTGCGGCGGCGGCCCCGCAGCCCTGTGTGTGCCCCAGTGCCGGCGGTTTAGCGGCCATTGCAGCACCGACACAGCTGCGGGTGAGCTGCCCCTCGGCAGGTGGCCCCAGTGGTAGCAGTGGACCGCCAACAGGCAACAACCTGACAGCAACCCGCCGCCGCCGCCGCCGCCGCCGCGAGTACCGCCACGGGGACCCGCCGTTGGCCAAAGTCCGCATAAGGTCCGACATTTCAGAGAGTCCGACAGCCCTCCTGTTGGCAAAGACGAGGGCTGCTGATTTCCGCCACCGCCGCCGCCGCCGTTGACAGTAGCGGTGGTACTGCAATTCGCACGCAGCGGTGTCGGCGGCGGCGTCAGGAGCTCCTGTACATCAAGGATACGGCCGTCTGACGTCAGCGATACGACCTGCTGCCGTCCATCGCCGTCCCAACTCAGGGCCTGCAGCAGCACAGCCGGCGGCGGCGGCGGCGGCGGCGGTGGCGGCAGCGTTACTTGCCCCGGCTGTGCTGACTGGTGCAACGGGGGGTTCGGTGAAGCGAGTTGGATGGAAGAGGGCGCGGCGGCTGCGCCGTCGCATTGGTCGGTCTGCGGTAGGTACGCGGCGAACGACAGGCGCGACAGGTCGGGGCCCGAGCCGATGACATCATGCATGGAGGGGTCGGCCTCCCCGCCATGCATGCTCGTGCAGGTCCGTCCCGCCAGGACTGAAGGACTTGATCCTCCCCTTCCCCCTCCCCCTCCTCTTCCTCCTGCTTCTTCCATGGCGGCCGTCGCCACAGTTGCGGAACTCCTGGGGCCCGAAGAGAACCCCGGTTCGAGCCCGACTGCCGGCAGAGCACCGGAATTGCTAAAGCTCGTGATCGGCTCGGGACCAACAGCTTCCACCGTTGCCGCGCCGTTCCGCGCCGGCAGCGAGGCCGTCGCTTCCAAGGAGTCCGAGCAGCTTAGGAGGAGGAGGTGTGCGGCGGAGCGAACTGCGTGAGTTCCCTGAGGTTGCAAACCCCCTCCCGCCGCCGCCGCCGCCGCCAACAACGACCCTGGGTGGGTCCACGCCGCCAACGGCTTGACAGCAAGACTGCACGGCGGCGGCGGCGGCGGCGGCGCTACCTCTGCTTCGGCGTCCGACTGGGGACTGCTGCTGCTGCTGCTGCTGCTGGGGGACCCGGCGGACGAGCTCCCCCCGTCGGCATGTTCGCCGCCGCGGCCAGGGGCCCGTCGTACGCAAGGCCATTGCTGCTGCTGCTGCCCCCGCGGTTGCAGCGGATGTGGCGCCGCCGCCAGTTGCCGCTGGTGCATCAAGCTTATGCGGCATTTAACAGTGTACGACAAACGTAGTATGCGCGGCAGTCCAACATGCGCGTCACCACCGGCGGCGCCGCCGATGGCGGCCGGGACCGCCGCCGTACAGCTGTCGCCACACCGCCACCGCGCCTCTAAGACAATCCAGGAGTCGAGAGCACTCAGAAGCAACCAACGCTGATCGCTGCTCATCGCCGCCGCCAGCAACGGCCCGCGCACCACCTCCGTCATCGGCTGCTGCTGCTGCTGCTGCTCCCAATCGGGCCCTGCCTCCGCCTCCGACACCGCCGCCACCTGGGCCTGCGCCGTACTATCACTGCTGCCTCGCCCTAGCACCCACGCAGGCGGCTTGTATGGATTGTACGGCACCAGACAGCCGTACATGGTTCCCATGGGCGTCACCGTCAACGCTATAGCGGCCATGTCCCCGGCAGGTCCGTTGCCGGCCCCATGGACGGCACACCCTTCGGCTCCATACTCCTGCGGCCGTTGGCGCGGGTCGTCGAGCGGCGCATGGCTCGCTCCGGGCGCTGCCGCTGTCCGGCGTAGCACTGCCCCGAGGGAACCCCATCGGAGGCAAAGCAGGGCGGCCGCAGGATTGGGATCATCGGCGGCGCTACCGGCCGGACCGCGGCATCCCGTTGCATTCCGAGGGGGCAGCGGGTGCCTAGATGGCGGAGAGGCGCTCTCACTGCCACTACCACTACCAATATCGGCACCCCCGCCGCTGCCACTGCTGAACCGCTGTGGCGCCGCCGCCCCCCGGTCCACCCAGGCCAGCTGCTGCAGCGGCTGCATGGGAAGCACGAGGGTGCCGCTCAGCGATCGCCATTCGAGGACCAGCAGCGCCGGTGCAAGGGCCGTGGCAGCCTCGGCCCCGGCGGCGGCCCCGGCGATGGAGGTGTGGTCACATCCTGCCGTGCAGCCACTACTAGTTGCGGTAGTGCCCCCGGCGTTATTGTGCTGATGGGGGGGATGAAGTTGATGGTACGGGGGCCGATGTTGGTTGTCGTGATGATGCGGACGCGGGTGATGTGATGTTGGTGTTGAAGGCTGTGCGGGGTGCAGTTCGGCGGGGGGCAGAGCCGCCAGCAGCACCGGCCCGCTAACGAGCTGCCTGCTAGGTCCAGTATCCCCCTGCGGGAGGCAGGGGGGGAGGCACGAGGGGGGAGGTGACGCTGTCACCCACGAGGACATGACACGACGGGGAACAGACGAACAAATACACATGTGTGTGTGCGAGCCGCAGCTGCAACCTCTAGTCGGCACGTCAAAACACAACAGCCACACCGCACCACACTTGCCCTCCTGACTGACCTGACTAACCCCCTCCGGACCACATGACAGGGTTCTGAGACACACGGAAGCTGGTTCCGGAGCTGGTCTTGATCCTCCCCCTCCTTCCCCCTAGCCCTCCACCCGGCAGCCCACGAAACACACATCCAAGCTCACCGGCGTCCCGAACCCCTCACCGATGCCATCAGCCCGACATGTCCGCGTATCATCATCACGCGACAACCCGCCTTACCCCAATCATTCCCCCTTTTTCCCCCCCCACCCGCCCACCTGTGCAAACACCGCCCGCCCTAGCTGCGGTATCCGCCGCCGCAGCTCACAGCGCCCACAAGGCTCCCGCCACAGACAGCACACGCCGCCATCGTCAACGCTCAACAGAAACCGGTAGCCGCCGCCGCCGCCGCCGCCCCAGGAGGAGGAGGGGTCCCCGGCGGGATCTTCGCCCTCCCCCATGTAGCCCTCACCGCGTCCCTCTGCGGTGCACACCATGCGGCCATACCGGGGGGACGGGGGACGGGGGACGGGGGGGAGGATTTACGGATACACCGGGAGCGAGTCGGGGGAGGGCGGAAGTGCGGTGGAGCTGATGTGGGAGATGAACTGGGTGTCATGATGATGATGATGGAGATGGAGATGATGATAATGATGATGATGATGATGATGATGATGGAGATGATGATGAAAATGGTGAAACAATTGAGAAATCGAATTATGAGATGCAGAGGTGGTATTGGAGGTGTAATTGCTGCGGGTGCGGTATTTTAGGAGAGGAGTAAAACCAACAGGTGTAGATGTGGACACGTGAGGGTCGGCGTTCCTTAACCGTCGGTGCTGCGTTTTCATGGACCCATTAATCTTTGCTTCAATGGAGTATTTGATTCACAGGACCATCCAAAATAAACCCTTAGGTCAAACCCTAGACAAGGTAGGGTTGAGGGAACGAGGCCTCAGGTAAACACAAGGGAATTTGAGACGCACACGCCATACCTCTTAAGCCAGGCACAAGGCAGCGGATAGGTAGGTTGTGGCCGACCAACATGACGCATGCTTTCGGCGCGGCGGCTATGCCCAGCTGCCACCTGATGGTTGGTTTGATCAGTGATGGAGGTGGTTGGGGCTTCAAAAAAGGGCCGTGTGTCAACGCAAATACGCTTTCCCTCTTATGCATACCTGATGATGGCTCCATCTGAGCCACCGGTATACAAGAAGGCCCCTTCCGCATCCACCGCAACGCAGGTGACTTCATGGGCTGGCGGTGACGGTGACCAGAACACCCGCACCGTTGCCTCCTCCATAAGGACAAGCTCTGCCGGCTGTTACTGGAACGCTGTATGTCCCGAGTGACAGCTTTCATCGTACTTCCGGAAAATTAAAGTTGGGCGCATGTTCAACATTGTTGGTCTCTTTTACAGACGTGACCTAGATACAGTCACTACATAACAACATAGCTTGGAGACAATTAATAATCGTAAAATCTGGTAGTCAATGTGTAGAAGTAAGTAGCCCTCCCAGCAGTCATAGAAATTGCAATCCTAAGTCTTCATAAAAATTGCAACATGGAGAACTTCAAAGGGATTGGCCCTGTTCAACGCGCTGTCGCTGTACGGCATCGAGTCCCAGGGTTTTGCCTCTTTGAAAAATAAATGTTAACATATCCATTGAAAGGAATTGTTATCATATCCATTACTCGTTCAATTGAGCACGGCGCAGCGAAAGTAGTCAGCAGTAACTTACCGTAAAGAAATGCTGGTCTAGTCTGTGCTGGCCATCCAACAGCATGACGCGTCAAAACGCTTCTCTGACATTCGGACATTTTAAATTGTAGCTGTTTCACAGCACCGCTAGCATGCATCAACGCCGGCAAAAGGAACACCTGTTCTTTCGGGTGTCCCGAGGGTCCAGCGCAATGTACGCAAGCTTCACCGTGCAGTAACCGTAATGCCTGAAACTCCACGCAGCTTCTACGTACGAGGCGTGTACTTTTTTGAAGTATGCATGAGCTTTTTTGCATGCGAGCTGCAAGGTGGCTCCCTTGTATTCCCTGTATTCAACCGATACACGACGGCTGACGGCCTCTTGCAAGTATCATTCTGCGTGCATGGCCTTGGACGCTTGGGGGCGCCAGCCCACCACGTTACACGCCACACCACTTGCCCCATGAGAACCGCCAGGAACCCTCGCTCTTGTTTGTCGGCTTTACAACGTCTCTGAGGTTAATTAGTTCGATGGGACAGACGCAGGCCTCAAGCCCCATATTCCCCTTCTGCAGTGCCGGAGCCATACACTAGTTCCACAATCACCATCATAAATCCTGCCGTGCCCTACCCAGCCAGGCTACAAATGGCGAAACATTACGTCTGCATCTGCACCGTTATCTTTAAGATGCCAGCACTTGGTTGACGAGTGCATCTACCCAAGACGCCCACATAATCAAACTATTTGGGAAAAGATTTTGAACACCGTAGGTAAACGAGTTTCATTGGGTAGCCTGGAATAGTGAAAATAATTGAAAGGCACAATTTTACTTGCAGCTGTACAGGAAAGAGGGTTCAGCAGGTTTGTAATGCAATGCGCACGTATCGAAGAGGCCAAATTTAGGCTTGCAAAAGGCTTGCGTGTTATGAAAGCAAGTATGAAGCTCAATAATGAAGTGCAATTGGGCGGGGTGTCGTTGCAATCTCGGCGCCTGGACTAATCCCTACAGGAACTGACGTCACATTATAGCATTTTCCAATTTTGTACTTAATTGCGTAACTTTTCATAGTCTAGCTCGAGACTGAAGATATAAACACGTGCTAAGTACCACCTTGAAAGCCCTACTGACTTAAGGCCGCATAAAGCGAAAGCCCCTGTGGTCATATTAGCTGAAAGGGAACTAGTATCCTCAAGATGTGTCTTTTAGGATTTCGTTGCATTGTTCCTGTTGCCAATTCCGCGTTTCGTCCGAAACGTCAAACTCGACGCGCACAGCTCAACGTCCTGGCAGCAACTTCCACGTCCGGTACAGATGCAGGTTCAACATCAACTTCAGGGGCCATGAATTCTGCTTATGTGCGCATTTTGAGGTACCCCGACGGGAATGAGCGCCGCATTATTTACCCCACACCTCCGGCACCAGAGGTTGAAATTGATATTGAGGAGTCTTGGAGTTTGTGGACCCAAGAGGTGTGTCGCAGAGCTGGGCAGCCGTATTTATGGGAGCCGAGGGGCCGGCAGGGAACATGTAGGCTCCGGTGGCTGACACAATGTTGTAGTCCACTTACTCCTCTATGCTTTGATATGCAGGATGAGTCTAGCTCTTGGAATGAATGTGGGCTTGCAGGCGCGGCATGCGTTGTCGCGGTAGGTGTTGCGCGCATGTTTGCTCTTTTCCGGAACAAGCCCGTGGCGGCTTTTAGAGGCATACGTCCCTAACACGAATATTCAAAACTTGTTATTTCTACATCATCACTACCGTCTTTTCCCTTAGCGGTTGCCGCACTTGACTGACTGCTAAGTTAGATTTGTCGGCTCTGTTTCGTGGTCTCTGTTTCTGTTTCTTCCAGGATCCGGACCCGCTTGTTGAGGAGCTTGCCATGTTGCAAAGTCGACATCCGAGAAACGTCTCGGAGCTCGTAGGAAGCAGCTACCAGGTGTGCTTGACATCTTTGGTCGGGTTGGTTCGCAACGTATCCTGCTTACCAAGGCGATCGGTTCATCTGCCACACAAATATCCACACACATATCCGCCACAATCAGCGCTTCCACCAGCACCAGCGCCATTGTATTTTGTGCTTCGTTTTCCCCGTTTTCCCCCGTCTTCATACCCTCCTCCCCCCGCTACCCCGCTACCCACCTGCAGGTCTTGACGGGGTCACCGTGGCTGCTGCCCCGCCCCTTGTTCGTGCTGACTCAGCGGCAGCTGGCCACGGGCCAGGCCACGCTGTACTGCCTGCAGACGCGCACGCAGGAGGAGGAGGTGCAGGATGAGCTTGCGCGGGTAAGGGGAGGGGGGCCCGGTGGGACGTGTATGTGTGGTTGTGTATACGTATGTGTGTATGTATGTATGTATGTATGTATGTATGTATGTATGTATGTATGTATGTGATCCCCACCCCACCTCTTCCCCTCACTCCATTGGGACGCCCCACACGCCTGACAGGTTGATCTGTGTCGCCCTCTGTGGCCCCCCCCCCGCCCCTGCAACCCCTGCACCCCCTGCCAGGTCCTCAAGCGCCCCTCCCTGGCGTCCTCCCTGACCTTCTCTCGGCTCCGTGACGGGGTGGTGGCATTCGACCGGGCGGAGGATGCGGCCAGATACGCCACATGCCTGGAGGCGGATATAGGGCTCGAGGAGGTGCGGAGGAGGAGGGGGAAGGGGGATATGTCACACGTATGTATGTATGTATGTATGTATGTATATGACGATGGGCAATCGGGAACCTGCGTGGCTATGTCGTACGAACGGTGGTAGGTACGTACTGCTGGTGGCTGTCTGGCGGTCGATGAAGTGGCACGTGGTAATTATGCTCACAGTCTGTGCTCATTGTAGTGAGCTCCGGAACCACTAATTTTAGTGATCTGCAGGAAAGGCGCCCCCTCCCCTCTCACCCCGTCCTCCGCTTCCTCCTTTTCTTCCCCTTTCGCTACCCCCTGACAGGTTGATGTTATGGAGGTTGACTCGCGGCAGTTATTTCGGTTGACGGGGGAGGTTGATGCGGTTGTTGTTTATCTGCCCTGGAGCGATTTCATGCCGTTACCGCACCAGCTGGCTCAGGCGCTGCGGGAGTGAGAAGGGGGAGTGGGAGGCGTGAGGGGGAATGTGTGTGCGGGGCTCGACTGAGGTTGAGCGAATTGGGTTCTGAGGCGCCCGCGAGTGGTAGGGTGGGGGATATCGGGGGAGGCGGCCCAAGTCCAGGGGTGTGGGGGGAAGGAGGGGGGTGGGGTGGGGGATGGAAGAGGGCGGCAAAGGTATCGCAGAAGGTGTAAAAAGATGTCCATCGGCATTTGTCAGGTTGAGCCTTGGGCCGCCGATTGCGGCGGGGAGGAGGAGGCATGTACTGACAGTGTGTCTGTCTGTCTGTAAAATGTGTTTCTCTGTCGTCTCTTAAATATGTGTATTCGGCGTTTGTGGATCTTGTTGTTTGTCGATGCTGCTGCTGATGATGATGACGGCGCCATTCATTTGCACACGACATTGTGTGCACATCAAGAAGAAAGAAAGCTTGCTCTGTGAGTATGTGGGCTTGTATGTATGTGTGTGCGTATTTGCTGCTGCTGCTGTTTGCCTTGGCCATTGATCATCCGTCTACAGTTGTAGGAGCAGAGCAGCACGTGCCGTTAGTTCATTAATTAGTTGGTATTAAAGGTATTTTGTTGCGGCGGTTGCTGCAGCTGCCCGATGTGATGAAGTGTATCAGGGTAGCAGTTCATGTCTTGTGGGTTTTCGGAGGTCGAGGTAAGGTGCCGTACCGTTTACAGGTGTCAGGAGTAGGAGGTACGACAAATCTCTTCCGTCCCAGAGCCTAGCCGGGTCGGGTCGGGTTGGTTCGCAAGATGATGTTAATTGGATTTCCCTGGGATGATGGATGACGAGCGTGGCCATGGTGGTGTGATGGTGATGATGATGATGTCATTTTGCTCTTTTTAGTACGTTGCGTACGAAAAAGGGTTCACGTATTGAACGTGGGTCGAATCGGTCATAGAGCCGTTGCCCTCTTATCATTGGCATAGATGTACTATATTACCGTAATATATTTCTTTGTTTTAAAAATGCCAGATGTCAAGTCTTGGCTGTCTATCTACCATTGGTTGCTGTCAGTTGGTCTTGCTCTGTCCGATGCCTGTTAGTTATGTGTTCGTTGCTAGAGGCAGCAACGGAGGCCGTCCCTCTCGCGACATTTGCGAGGAGGAGCGACGACTTCACGGCTCTGCCTGCCCCTTCCCACGCCCCATTCGCCGCTTGTAAACAGTGCTGCAGTGGTACAGCTCTTGTAATGTAGTTATCCGCAAGGCGAGGACAAACCAGCCAACCATACCATATAGCGGGGCGGGGCGGGTGGGGGGAGGCCCAACTTCTTAACCTCGCGGCGCTCTATCACCGTCTAGCAGGGGGTGCCTTGGGTGAGATCGTGAGCCGGTACTGGGACTCGTGCTTGCCACTGCTGGGGCCCACAGCACCGCCCCTCGTCAAGAGGGCCCCGGGGGGAGGGCGCGTCATAGCAGAGGTTCACATGTGCCAGCTGGCTGGCTTCATTCGCTGGTCGCGGGCATTGCAGGGAGGGCTACAGCAGTGGGTTTTGGGGTTTGTCCTGGGCTTGTGCTTCCGGGCGGCATAGGGCATACAGCCATTCGGCTAACATGGAGGCAACGACGGCGGCCAGCGGCTGTGTGTTACTACTGCGTGTGTTGTGCTGTAATCAAAATGTACACCAGGTGGAAGACAGAGGCCAGGAATGCTTGGGAAGTTGGGGCGCAGCATGGCAGACTGTTGTTTGGCAAATGCGAGGGAAGGACCGCTGTCCCGCTTCTTCCCCTCTTCTCAGTTTGCACTTCTCAGGTGAGGCTCGCGATAGTTGTGCGGTATTTGTGGGACCCGCTGCCGTCGTGCCTCCCGCATGCCTCCTCCGTCGTCACTATATACACACCCTGATACAGGGTGTATCCACTTGGCCGAATCCTAAATGCATATATTGATATAACTAATGATAGTAACAAGTATTCATCAAACATATTGGAGGTTGGGGCACTCCTGGCGGAGAAAATAAGGCCTAGTGGAAACACCCCGTACACTAAGTCCACACTAGCGCGTCACAAAGTTAAATGGACCTCAGACCTGCCATTAACTTTCAGACCTAGCACCAACTATTTGGCGGGCAGCTTTTAGGAGCTGGATTGTCCCTTCTGACCACAGACTTTAGATGTAAGCAGCTATCTTTTTTCCTTACTGCAAACGCCGCGTTGACTTGCGCACGCCCAACACCGACAGCCTCAGAAGGCCGCCAATTTGTAATGGGGCCCGCGTTCAACAGGAAAAGCGTACGATCCATATTTTCCTTACAGACCTTGACAATTAGCAGCAATTAATACCTAGCGCTGAAACATCCAAAATACGAAAATAATTTTGGTTTCGGCGCTCCTTAGTGCAGCTAGTGGAAACACCGTCACACTGGCACTACACTAAGTCCACACTAGCCCATAGTGTACCGAAGATAGTGTGCGCTCAAGTGGAAACAAGGGACTCAAAGGACTCAATAATTAAACTTATATTGTTATTATCGTAGGGACAAATACAAGTTGAATTACTGAGCCCTTGGGGGCTTGACGGAATGCGAGACCGTTAATATGACAAACGCGACTTTGTTCGGGTCGATTTCTTCTCGTTCGTCAACCCTAACAAGTTACTGGCGGTTAAGAGAGAAAGGCTGTTGGATTGGATTTGCGATATGCGCGCGCTGGGGAAGAAGGTGGTTGGTCCCTCCAGGGAGGTTTCATGTCTCAGCCGGGTGGCCCGGCAGGTTTGCTTACCGCTCAGCGGGAAAATTCCTAGCCAGCCATTTTCCTTCCTTAAGGTCCTTCGTTGACTTTTGTGTTTTCCTTTATCCACAGCCGCAAATAGCCCGCTGACCAGTGGAATTCACAGCAGAACCGGTCGAATTGCCCACATTCCAGCAATTGTCCGACCAAGCTGTAATCATTTTGCGCATTAACTTACACCCACTCTTACTATTACAATGGTTTGGTACCTTAGTAGCAACCTGTCGTGTGGTTCCGGGGCGCTTAGTGGAAACACCTGTTCAATAACCACACACAAAGCTCACATTAAGGATAATGCTGGGAAGTTAATGTGCGGCCAAGTAGAAACACCCTGCAAATCGTCGTTAGTTCGTATCCAACGTTTCTGGAGGTTCCGTCCGCGACATCTGCAAGGCTGGGTGATTAGCCGCTGCAAAACATACGTATTTTAGAAACAAGAGGAAATGTCTTTGCCCAAGATTATTTACTTCCCGGTTCGCGGCAGGCAAGTCGGCATGGATGTAGATCACTTTCGTGGAACCAAAAGGCGTTCTACATACTTATTCTGCCTAAGGTTTGGTTCCATCCCCCCTCAGGGCTGAAGTCATGAAGCTGGCCATTGTGGCTTCTGGTAATGACTTCGAGCTTGAGCAAATCAACTACCAGGACATGAAGGAGCACCCGGAGCTCTATCCGTTCGGGCAGTGCCCAAGGCAAGCCCCGAAATAGTAGGCAGTAACATGAGAATATTCAGATCCTGAAAGAGCGACGATTATGCGCTTGCGGTATGGTTGCTATTTTGCTACTTTACAAGGTCGCTTGCCAAGTGTGTCTGCAGGCTTGTGGACGGCGACATGGATTTGGTGCAGTCAAACGCTATTACCAGGTATTGTTAAAGTCGTAGGTCCATAGACACGTCTTATGAATGGTCGTAAGGCTCGTAAGGCTCGTAAGGTTGTCCAAGTTGGCACTCATATGAAGGTTCGCCAGATAGCCACACAGTATTATGTTAACAGCGTAGCAAACGCGATAAGAAGTTGATTATATTATATGTGCTCATGCTTTTTTTCCATGGGAACTTGGAAAGGCTACCATCCCATACAAAGCCCACCAGAGGCCCCGCAGAGCGGGTTTCTATCGTTTGAGCTTTATGCCGCCGAATGTCAGATTGAGCACAGGTCTGCTCTGTGGGCAATAACTAATTGGGATGGAGTCCCTAAGGGAGATGACGGTGACTAATTGCGTACTGCTGAGGCGGCACTGGTGCAGGCGGTAGTAGGCGGCGGGTTACTGCCGCCACAACCCGCTGCATTCCGCGCTCCGCTATTCTTGCTGTTTTCATTCCTCCTGCCGTTACCCCCTTCTCACCAGGTATCTGGCCCGCAAGTACGGCATGTACGGCAAATCTGAAAAAGAGACTGCTGCTGTGGATGTCATTTTGGAGGGAGTGGAGTCCCTCCGTGTCAAGTACCTGAACCTCGTCTACCAGGACCAGCTGGTGAGAGGTGGTTGCTGTGACAGAGAGCTCCTGCCGCCGTACAGCCATCCATGGGGGCAGTGGGGGCTCTCTCGGGTTGGGGAGGCTGAGTAGGAGGGTTGGGTTTGGAGGCAGTGGAGGATGTGGATGCGACCGAGGGTTGGGGTTGGAGGTGGGGCGGGTGGGGAGGGGCTGGGGCTTCAGGGTTTCATTGTTCGGCTCTCCATTGCTCGCCGCTCCAACCCCCACAACGCCCAGGCTGCTGTTGGGGAAGCTTCGCCTCCCCCGAGGGCCCGTCCAGTGACCCACCTGCCGTTCTGTTTGTCTGTCTGTCTGTCTACCCTGTAAACCCTAAAACCCAAAGTCGGGCAAGCCCATGTTGACACCCGCCCTTATGTGAACTGGGATACCCTTTCCCAGCTCCAGCCGCCCTCCCCGCCTGCCTGCCTTCGGGAAGTTATCGCCTACCTGCCCCTCTGCCCGCCCTGTCCGCATACGTATGTGTATGCGTCCATCTCCGTAAGTACGTATGTCTGTGTGTACGTATGTATGTCAGGCCACCAAGGACACCTACTGGACCACTCACGGGGACCTGGCAACAACTGCGGGGCGGAACGGTGGGTGAGGGGAGGCAGGGGGATTCTGGACTTGGGTGTTTAGGGGATTTTCCATGGGGAGTCTGTGACCAGCCAGTTCAGGCCGCCCCACCCACCCGTTGCGGCCCTCTCCCTCTTCCTCCGCATTCTCACCCCCTGTGCGGGTGCGGGTACGGACGGGTACGGCTCTCGTTGCGACCCTCCCTGCATATGTTGCGGCTCTCGTTGCCATTGCCATCATCATCATCATCATCATCATCATCATCATCATCATCATCATCATCATCATCATCGATGTCCATGTTGTCATTTTGGAACACTGACAGCACAGACTAACACGCGGCCTTCAGACTCTGGACTGTCGTACGTCGGGCTGCATCACGGGATGATGCATCATACATACATACACACACTTACATGTATACACACACAGGTGGCGCCCATCTGGCCTACTTCTCCCGGCTGCTAGCTCGCAATGCGCCAACCGGGAATGGCAAGGCGTTCGTCGGATCGGATCTCACCATTGCGGATCTGGCAGTGTACGACATTGTGGATCTGCACTATCGCATATTCGAACAGGTTATGAAGGCAACGGTGAGGTTGTGGGGGCAGTATGTGGGGTGAGTGGTGTGTTATGGGGACCATATAAAGGGCCACGAGAGCGGCTGTGTTGTACGACCTGGCTGCGAGGTCAACGGAAGGGGGGACGGACTTTCGGAGGGCTCCGCGCCTGCGAGGTGGAGGTGGGTGCCGAGGGCGGAGCTCGGTTTGAGGGCCAACCGGGACGGGGCCCTACGGGGGGCTGCCGTACTGCACCACGTCATAGGTGCGGCGGCATCTCTGCATGTTGCGAGTTCCTTGCACCTGGGGAATGATAGGGGGTTAATAGCGGAAGTTTGCTGTGGTATGTCTGATGTGTGGGACAGAGGGGTTATATCTTCACCCGTGGCGGTCCGGTCTCGATCCCGGAACCTCCGGAGGCATCGGAATCTGCGTTACCAGTAGTGCCTGAACCGATTCGTATGTACGTATGTAGGTAGGTATGTAGGTAGGTATGATGTGGGGGACAGGGTGTTCATATCTTCACTCTGTGGCCACTACGAAGCAGACCCTGTGTTCCCAGGTATTCGGGGCACCCTTATCCAGCCACCCTAGCCAACTTCTCAGTGGATCGCTTAGGTTCAGCACCCACCATCGGCATCCAACGGAATCTGCCGGATCAACGGCGGCCCAACTCCATTCCTGGTCAGCTCGCAAGATCACTTTATCCCAGGTCACCATCGTCCATCGACTAGGGGCACTTTACCTTCCACCATCGGAAGGATTTTCGACCTTGACAGGTCTCGATCCCGGAACCTCCGGGGGCATCGGAATCTGCGTTACGAGTAGTGCCTGACCTAAGATGACCTATACATGTCTCCGTGGCGGACATTTGACAACCCGACTCGACCTGACCCGTCGGTCTGTCTGTTTATTCTCTTCCTTGTCTTCCAGTATCCGGACCTGCTGGCCTTCCACGCTCACGTCTCGGGGCTGCCGGGCATCCGGGAGTACCTGGCCTCCCCACGCCGGCTGGCCGCTGTCAACGGGAACAACCTGGGATGAGAAACAGGATGAGGATGAGGATGAGGATGGGCTGGAACCGTATGATGAGATGAAATCGTCATACCCTGCCGGTTCTTCCACACCAGGCTATAGCCCTATGTTGTTGTTGATGCTGCCGGGGGCTGGGTTGGGGTGCCCTGTACGCATGACTCATCACTAGTGATTGAAACTCACTAATCCAAAGCCTTGCGCGACTGCTGTACGTTATACTTGTACGATCGTGGGTTTCATTGTATGGCAAGCGCGATTGCAAGCCCATCGCCAATACTTTCCCAGCTTAGCACATGATACTTCAGTTACTGCGTTAGAGGTACAGTGCAATCAAAGGGATTCGGTCAACACCAGTCAATTAGCACCTTTGTCAAGGGATTTTTCCATTTGACTACGTGATGTGTTGTAGGGTTCAGGCCTTCTGTTCAGGTGGTATGGCAGTACATGTACGTGTACACCTTATGTTCGCCGCTCGCTCCACGTGTCGAGGTAGTAAAGTCGATGCTCTATTGGTTTCACGGCAGGATACCGCTGGAGACTTTGGAAGATGCTGAATTATCGGGCCAGAGTAGCAAGTCAGGCCTGGATTGAGACAATTTCGCACGACGCACTTTGTCTCAGCGAAAGTCATACGTTGCTCTCATCAATCAGTTAGTCACTGCTCCATCATAACCGGTATCCAGCAAAAGTTCGTTGCGATTCTATTGCCGGCGAGTCCCTTTCCTACGTACTACATACGGTGCATATAAAGTCAAAAGTCAAGGGAAACTTGGGCTGGCTTCCTTGGAAGGCTTGAGACATACCTAGCTTTTGTAAAAACCTCGTAACGGTGACCACGGCACAGCCAGAAAGGCAAAATTCAAAACGCTGTCCAAGCAGCAGCAGGTTGCGAAGTTTCAGTTGCATTTCAACAACGTTTTGTACAAGCTTACTGCTTTGAATACCAGCTTTACAATACCTGTGCTGGGACAAATTGTACAGCACAGTTACAAACTTGTGGATTCCTGGCCACATCGGGCACATTTACATATTTTACTTCCTAGTTATATAAAAAGTATGTGTTTGGAAAGGACATCCGGATTTGGACAGTAATATGTTAGAATTTGCATGTTAGATGGCACTCCCATCGGTTACGCCTGAATGCTTCCTTAAGCAAAGCCTGCCAGGATACAATGCAAGGTAACTACAGCTATTTACTTCAAGAGGTCATTTCCACGGCATGGCAATCGTGAACCTAACAGCAAATGCATTTGGCATCAACGAAACGAGTCGAGTCTATGATAACTTAGAGAGGCAGGCTAGCGATGCGACAGTACCAGAGGGACCCATCGTTGACAGGCGGCCGTCAGCCACCGGAGGCGCTGTCCCCTGGTCGGGGTTTGACGCCATTCCAGACGTTCCGGAAGTCCTGGAAGTCCCAGACGATGCCGTCATCATTGTTGAGCACCCAGACGGCTCAGCTGAAGTGGGTTTCGATGTTTCAAGGTTGCCAAAGCAACCCGCTGATGCTAGGCAGCGCAATGGGCTCGCAAATACGCCTCTCGATATAGAGACTGAGATAGCAGGTGCGCTGCCTCATGAAGCCTGCATCCCTAACCATTTAATGAAATAAGCAACTCCTGTACGACACCCACCCCTGGACCCACCCCGTCACACGTATAATACGTATGCGCGCGTCTACAGCATCTGAAGCGCTGCGGCAGCAAATTGCCGCAGTATTTCGCAACACCACGCTGCGGAGACGTCGCATCGTGTTCCTGGCCATCGTAGGTGAGGCGGCAGCAGCAGCACCCAGCAAGCTACCATAGAAGCCGTAGCCGTTCAGCACTTGGAAGGGGTTGTCAGCGGGCCAGGGATGTGCGCTAGGTTGCTCATCCCCCACTGTCTCTTAATTAGAACCGCCCTTCCCTTCCCTTCTCGTCCCGTCCCTTGCTGTTGATGGCTCCGTCTGCAGTCTGTGACGGCCTTTTCTTCGGCGGCAGTTTGCTGTTTCAGCTGCTGACGGGCGGTCTGGGCAGCATGCGCAGGAAGGGGCTGTCGCTGGGGGCGAGGGGGTCACAGCTGGCGGTGTGGCAGTGGTGGCTGGACCCCAAGAGTGAGTGTGCGGGTGGACGGGTGGGCTGGGGTGGGGCCGGATGCGGGTAATCACATGTATGGCTGATGTGTGAAACAGGGGGGTGTATCTTCGCCCGTGGCAGCTACCCTGCGAAACCCTGCCTTCCCCGGTATTTCGGGGCACCCTCATCCAGTCACCCTAGTCAACTTCTCAGTGGATCGCTCAGGTTCCGCACCTACCACCAGCATCCAACGGAATTTGCCGGGCCGACAGCGGCCCAACTCCATTCCTGGTCGGCTCGCAGGTTGACTTTATCCCAGGTCACCACCGTCTATCAACTAGGGGCGCAATGCCTTCCACCATCGGAAGGACTTTGACCCTAACGGGTATCGATCCCGGGATCTCCCGGGGGCAATGGTCGCGCTTTACCAGTGGTGCCAAACCCTTGTAATCCGTTATATGTATGTATGTATGTATGTATGTATGTATGTTGTTACAGGGTGGTTAACTTCGCCAGCGGCCCCCTTTCCCGGGGCAGTCCCTGCTCTCCCCTGCTAGAGGGGCACCCTAATCCGTCACCCCATCCGACTTCAGAATGTATTCGTTGGGTTCGGCAACTCACCACCAGCATCCAACCAAATCTAGCGGATCAACGGCGCATCAACTTAGTTCCTGGTCAGCTCGCAAGTTGATATTATCACGTCCTACACCGTCCATAAGATGGGGGGCCACCTCCCATTTCATCACTCCTCAAACACCCGAGGAGCCGGCAGGCGGATTTGAACCCGGGTCGACTGGGTCAACTGGGAGCAGAAGTCAGGCCTTAACCTCTGCCAGCCGCCTGCCTGTATGTATGTATGTATGTATGTATGTATGTATGTATGTATGTATGTATGTATGTATGTATGTATGTATGTATGTATGTATGTATGTATGTATGTATGTATGTATGTATGTATGTATGTATGTATGTATGTATGACGTTGATTACACTGTGGGCTGAAAAGCCGGGGGCCCAGGGCCGAAGCACAGCGCGAGGGGCGGGTGCATACGGCTGGTTAGTCTCATGCACTCCGCCCCCGGGTCAGGCCGCACGGGAAACGACGGCCGGCACGCAACAGTATGTATGACGTTGATTACACTGTGGGCTGAAAAGCCGGGGGCCCAGGGCCGAAGCACAGCGCGGGGGGCGGGTGCATACGGCTGGTTAGTCTCATGCACTCCGCCCCCGGGTCAGGCCGCACGGGAAACGACGGCCGGCACGCAACAGCGCTTGTTTGGCGCTCCAACTAGACGGGATCTATGCCCGTTGGTCTCCTAACATAAACGAAGTCGCAACTGGGGGGCTCTTCCTGCCGACCGAACGAACCGAGCATCTCAGAGAGCTCGCTACCAGGACCTGGGCGACCGGGAGCCCGACGAGTCATCCCGGGCTGGGGAGGTCACCAAGCTCAAAAATCCTCACGCAAAAAAGAGCGCAAAGAGCTCACACCACAAGACGCCAAACAGCCTCCTTAGACTACTACCCTCCTCCGCCTCTCCCTCTCTGGGCTAGTCCAGGGGAGATAGCCCCCGTCGAGGGGGTAACACCGCACAAGTCCGCGCCCTTCCACAGCACTGGGTCTAACTTGGAAAGTACTCAAACGGGAAGACCCTGCGGCAACGCAGGGCGATCAAGCCTCCGGAAACCACAGGGGGGGAGGGTAGCCAGCTCGGCGCCCCCCCAATACCGCTCTACCAAGACGGCTGGTTCCCAAGATCCTATCTCACCTAGACGCCGCAACACGAAAAACCCGGTCTCGTACCCTGAAGAACCTAGTCCTGCACCACGCGCGCACCTTCGAGTACGGGCCCCCCTTCTGGGTGCCCACCTCCCCCTCATCCGCGCCCTCGCTAC